TCCTGTAGTAACACTGGATCAATAGGAGATCACCCTTACTGGACGTCTAGTGAGAACAGTTTAGAACTGATAGAGATATCCAGTGTAAATGAGGTCAGTTTAGTTTAGGTTTCCTCCTGTAGTAACGCTGGATCAATAAGAGATGATCCTTACTGGATCTCTAGGAAGAACAGTTTAGAACTGATAGAGCTATCCAGTAGTTATATCTCGGGCTTAATGGACCCCATTCTATGCGCATAATTAGCCTAGCCTTAATAATTCATGAGTTATGCAAATTAATTTGCATAATCGATGACGTATTTTTCCGAAGGTTCTCCGATGATGATAAAACAACGAGGGCTTTCCGATTATTAATTTGCATAATCGATGACGTATTTTCCGAAGGTTCTCCGATGATAAAACAACGAGAGCTTTCCGATTAGTCGCCATTTTGTTTCAAGATGGCGGAAGGGTTAATAACATAGATATAATAGACCTAGATAGCTGACTGCATACGATTATTTTCGCAAAAGCGTGACCTGTAGGAGCAAATCCAAGATGGCGGCCATTCAGGGCAAAAACATTAGAAACGGTATAGGAAAAACCATGTTTTTTGCATTTTGCGTCGACACAATGTTTCCGATCTCCTTCAAGCGACATATTTTGGCAACAACTTTTTATCGCCGAGCTTTTGGTTGTAAATTGGACAGTTGGGGATGAATTAATGTAAAAATATCGTTCGCCGAAGTTTTTATGAAAATATCGTCACTTTGGCACTGGTCAAATCGAGTCATTTACTTGGGTTTAGAGGAATTTATAAAGAAAATTTCTGATTTTTGAGGTCGAATACATACACTGTTAGGTCTTTGGCTACAGATTGGACAGATTGGGATGAGTTATAGAAATATATCGCTTGCCAAAGTTTGTATGAAATAGTCACTTCACTCACTTGGGCTGTTCGATCAATTCCCTGGGGTCAGACTACCTTAAATTTGTCTAAATTTACATTAAATATTTTGAGAAATGGTCAGAAAATTACTTAGAAAAACTAAACAGTGTCTTAATTTAAGTTAAATCGTTAAATCTACAGTCAATTGGATGCCAATTGAAATTCATTTATTGAATCAAATTCATTGCTAAATTGCTAATTATTGTAGCCTATAAATTCCTTTAACCGTGATAGACCCAAGCACCTATACTTGAATGACCCAAGTTACTTGCCCTGAGGGGCTCCATGTGTCTCATATCACGGCTCATCCACATCTGGGGGAGTTGGGGGCCCCTAGATAAAACATATTAAAAGGCCACCATAACTAAATAATATTGTAAAGGAACAAATGTTGGCTTATTTGTGTATTGGAAGAGTACATCAGGCAAAATCATTGAAGGAACCATAAATGTGGTGTTCTTGTTTGTCCTAGAGATGAGTCGATCATAAATTTGGCAAAACCGATTAAGGGGGTGTGGGGTTGGGATGAGTTATAGAAATATATCGCTTGCCAAATTTTGTATGAAATAGTCACTTCACTCACTTCCCTGGGGTCATACTGTTAGAGTACTTTAAATTTGTCTAAATTTACATTAAATATTTTGAGATTATAAGTTAAATCTTAAAATCTATAGTCAATTGGATGTCAAGTGTGCAGTATTGCAAATTAAATGTACCTTTGGTTGCAAATTTGAGTGTCCCTGATTTCCTGTTTTGCTCAAGATATAGTTAATATCAATGTACTGAAAATTATGCAGTGTGCAGTGTGTACTTTTGTGTTACGGTAACCCATTTAGTTGCAATGCACCCAACTCTGTCTAACACTAGACAATTTTACTCATCAAGGGGAGAATCTTGTGCTTTATGTGCATTATGACCTATTATTTACTAGCTCAGGTTCTTCCTTGGTCTCCCCCTCCATACACACACACTCTCTCTATACACACACCCTTAGGAAAATCCGAAATGATGGCAAGAGTACACAATATTTGTATTTTAAAATACAATTTATGCTCTTTGCAGCATTTATCCCTATATTTCTGAAGAATGTCATTCTAAAGCAAAGTTTATATATTATACCAGTGCTGTCCAGAGGTGAAACGGGCCCTAGCTGAGAAGTTAGTGAGAAAAAAAAAACATTACAGCTTTTGTATTTAGTTTATTTGCACCATAATCACAGTTAACAACTGAGACCAGATCCAGCCTTTTGATCCCGGCCCCTGTGGTAATTACCCCTCCTCCCACCCTCTAAATGCTACAGTGCCTTTTTTAAGGAATTTTCACTGGGGGGGGGGGGCAAAACAGGAAAAAAAGGC